TTAAAATTTAGAATATCACTGATAAAGAGATGTGCTAAGAGGTCAGCAAGGAGGGAGAAATCCATATGAAAGATCAAGATTCAGAATGGTGTTGCGCTATTGAACAGAAGCTAGAAGCTAGAAAGCAACTGAGCATTGTCAATACCTCAAAATCCTGAGGCACCTTTGTTAAGAATAACTATGCTCTACACCAGAAATTAACACAACATTGTAAACTGACTATACTTCAGTTAAAAAAAAAAGAAGCAGCAGCAGCTGCTACTGGATTATATGCCCTACGAAAACAAAGCATTACCTGAAAAAAAGAAAAAGAAAACCATGAAACTGACCACAGGATCTCTCATACACTTACGCAATGAAATCCTGGGATACCAGCTGCTCAACAGGTCTAGAAAGTAGCTAGTCTCAATTGGAAGAGCAGAGTGAGGTCTGGGCAGGTAAGATGATGATCTGATACGTGGGCAGCATTTGGAAAAACATTAAGGATAGATGCATAGAAGACTAAGGAACTTTTAAAAGTTTTACAGTTTTTAAAAAAAAGTTTTACAAGGAAAAAAAATACATAATCAGAGTACCCAACTTGGCATTGCAGTGATAATAGTATACAGTCACATACCACAAACACTGTATTTATAGACAAATATTATGATATGCTTACATAGGGAGGACAGGGCAAGTAGTGAGAGGTGGTATAAAAGAACTGAATTTTGATCTATCTTAATAGGAAGTCAGTAGGTCTAAAATTGCCTAAAATTGAAAAATTGCTAGGAGTATAAGTGAATTATTGAACAGTGTAGAAATAAACAGTTAAAACAGTTAAACCTGGGATGGAAAGGTGACTGCCGTATTATATTGAAAACTCTTTTTATTACAACATGTTTTTTTCTTTGATTTTTTTTTAAATGCAATTTGTCTAAGGTCATTAAGTTACTAAGTAAACAAACTAGCATTCAAAAGCAAGTCTATCTAATTACAAAATCCATGCTTTTGTTGCTATACTACGCTGACATTCCTTTGCCTATATAAACAATGTTTAGTCATAAAATTTTTATGACACACTGGATGTGATGTTTTCATAAAGCTCAAGGTAGTCCACTATAACTTAGAAAATCTAATTTGACTGCTTTTTCACTTTCAAAAATGAATCCAGCAACTATCTATAATTTTAAGTAATTAGTATATGTAGGTTACCTAAAGATTTACCCACAAGCTTCTTTCTAAAAGAATTTGTATTATGAGAATATATTATCAAAAAGGACTGATTGTTTTCCTATTTATTATTGATAATTTAAAGCTTGATATTTTTTCCTTTTTTGTTGATTATTGTGTTTACATTCATTATTGTATTATGTTTATTATTATATTCACACCTACCAAGAATTTTTAAAGTTTAATTGGAATTCTTTTGGTCTTGTGCTCTCCGTTTTTCCAGTTATAGTACATGACATATGATATAAAAGCCAAGAGATTTGAATGTTAATCAGGAGAAGAAAACTTATGCATCAGGTTAAGATTTTAAAGCTATTTTATAGATTTCTATTTTAAGGTATGAAAAAGTCTCAATGAAATAAATGGAGAAAAATGTATTTTATATATAAGACAGTGATTATTGGGAAATTGTTAAGTTGACCTATATATGAGAGTAATATAGCATCTTTTAAATAGATCTTCTTAATATTATAACTCCTACCAAAGTTGTTTATAGGTAGTATCAAGACATAATTTTCTAACTCTTATTAGTGTTTTTTATATTAAAAGTGTTCTTGGGGGAAGGGTATAGCTCATGTGGTAGAGCACATGCTCAGCATGTATGAGGTCCTGGGTTCAATCCCCAGTACCTCCATCAAAAAAGTAAATAAATAAACCTAATTACCTCCCTCTGCAAAAATAAAATAAAATAAAATAAAAGTGTACATATAAAAAAAAGTGTTCTTTATCCTGGAATTTGTGCATGTGTAATTCATAGCACTGAACAATATTATGATTCGTCTCTCCTGATCCAAACATTTCTTAGTGGCTGAATTTTAGTTAAGCTATACTGTCTTACAGTTCTGGCTGCCGTTTTACATACCTTCTTCAGTGTCAATGTGCTGGTGTCTGGATTGTCATTGTTTAATGCAGGAGTTCCCAAATGCTGCACTGGTACTGACTGCATAAGAATCACCTGTGGAACTTATTAACAGTACAGATTCTTGGGCTCCACCGAGTCTGATGCACTAGATCTGGGGCCTTTGTATTTTATAAGCTCCCCATAGGATTCAGTTACACAAATTGAGTCTGGGAACCATGATTCGATACACTTCTAGTGAGAAACAGTGTAAAAATTTTTTAAATTTTTGAATTACAAATATTAGAATAGGGAAGAGAAAGATTCTGCATGTCATATGAAAGTGATCAGATTTTAAGACTTGAGCTTTTTTGGTTTTTTTGTAGGCTGGGATCACTATGGAAGCAACTTAGCATTGGGGGCAGGTGAGATCCTTAAGATTTCTCTCTTTATGCACTCGCTTTTCTCCCCCAAAGGACAGTTTCATGACCCTTTTATTATTTTTGTAAATAGTATTACAAATATTCCTAAAGCTGATGTCAGTATATGGTTACTGGCCTTCATAGACCAGACAGCGTAATGATAAGCTGACTTCTGTGGTTGGTTCACAGTCTTAAGGGGGCTCCCGAGGTTGAATGTTGTAAGCAAGATTAATCAGAAGTTAAGTGTATACCCTTTGCCAAAATGAAAAAAGCCAAAAAAAGGTAGCAGAAGAAGGTGTTAAAGTTCAGGGCTTTAATGATACTGTTTATTAAGACAGAGCTTTTCTGTGATTTTTAACAGCTAATATAATGCCTTCATCATCTCATCTCTTTGGCTCAATGCCATGGGGACCACCAGTGCCAGTTCCTGGGAAGCCCTTCCATCATACTTCATACGCCGGGACCATGCCCATGGCTGGGGGAATGCCAGCTGGTGTGCACAATCAGTTCATACCTCTGCAGGTGAGACCTGAAAGTGAATTAGTGTATTTTTAAGAGAATTAATGTTTTTTTAAACTACACAAAGACCACTGATAAAAATTTGTTTATTTGGTAACTACTATTCAGTACCAAATAGAAGCCCAGTACTAGTCTGGGTACTGAAAATATATTTTGACCAGTAGTGACCAGTCTGACCTGGTCCCTGCTGTCTGAGTTTGTGTTCTAATAAATAATAATAATTGCAGCAAATAATAATATCCTTTTCTAGAAGAAAGTAATTTAAAATCAGGACTATAAATTTTATTTATATTTAAGTTATGGATAATTTTTAAACATTTTACTCATAACTAAATTCCTTGGATTTCTAAAGTTTGGTTTGGAGATCATAAGCGCAAGTCACAAGTCAACAGTGATTGACAAGTATTAGCAGCATGGTTTATGGTATTTTCTGATACTAGCCTTTTTTGTCTACATTGTTAATGAATGATGCTTTTATTCCTTAAAGGTGACTAAAAAAAGGGTTGCAAACAAAAAGATCTTTGAGAATAAGGAGGCCCAGAGTTCTCAAGCCACCCCACTTCAGACTAGCCAGTCAGCATCTTCTGATGTCACCAAAGTGATTCCACAGGAGAATTCATCAGTTTCCTTAAAATCCTCTCAGATTACTCAGCCTGTATCTTCTTTTCAAGTTGAAGCTGCCTCCCCAGGTCATAGCACGTCTCACCATAAGTCAACACCAAGCTCTTCTTCAAGAAGAAAATCAAGAAAACTGGCTGTCAATTTTGGCGTTTCTAAACCTTCTGAATAAGTTTGGTACTTGAAATTAAATTAATTTCTTTCCTTTCCTCTCATCTTTTTATAAATCCATATCTGTGTCTCTAAAAAATTACAATGTACTATTTTAAAACAATATGTTTCAATTAAATTTTTTTGATTTTTTTAGTTGTCAGGCACTTTTCATGCTATTTAAAAGACAGTACATCAAACTGTGCATCTTAAGTATATGCAGTTTGTTTTACATCAATTATACCTCAATTAAGCTGTTAAAAAAAAAGACTAAACCTTGTTTTAAAATAATATCAGTGGACTAAGCATTTAAATGTACCACTCTAACCATTGGCTTCATCATTAGAAGCATCCTAAACTATGAATTAGACATCATATTGCAATAATAATAAACATTTTTTACACTGTCATTGAGGGATAATTAAATGGAGCATGAAAATTGGGCCTCAAGTATAATTTACTGAAGTGGATTTTATTTCTCTATTTAATGATGTAACAGAATTGTGAGGAGAATGGCTCTTATTTATAAGTATTTTTACTTCTGTTGTCTCTAAAGGTCCTTTAGACCTGCTGTGAAGTAATCACACTTGTTGTGGTGCTGCCAGTTTTGCTTTATTCTCAATTTTGTACCAAAGCAATTTGAGAATACTAATCAGAATATTTCATTTAACTGCTTTGAACTATAAATAGCAATCTAGATTTGAGTAAATAATTACAATTTTTTAGATTATTCAAGAACCAGCATTAGTAATTTCTAATAAAATTAAGTTTCAAAGTCTACAGGGTATAATGATTACAAATTAATCTTCTAATAGAATAAAGTACAAAATATTAATCATGTCATTAATTAAAATAAATTGTGTTATTCTTTTGTATAGCTTTTTTACGTGCTTACTTAAACGTACATGAGAGCTCCATGTTGGTCCATGAGTAGTGCTTCCTGGGACTGATGAAATTCTAAATTTTTTAAAATTCCAAGGTGTGCAGAGGCACAATCAGTGTATAACGTGTATTACTTACATGACAAATGCCTGTCTCATTCTCTTTCCCTATTTTTAGCTTTATGCTGAACTGTTCAGTGACTCTGGCATTTTGTCTTTGCATGTCACGTGTGGGTGTGTGTTGTGTAAGCTGTGGCTGTTGAAATTATTTTAGAATTTATGAAAATTTCTCAGTGGTACCAGGGCCTGAGTTTTTATATATATATATATATTTATGCTTTAGTTTTTGTGATATGCGTATATTTTTAAGGAAGTAAATTATCATACTTTTTTAAAAGTAAGAACCACAATTTTTGTATGGAGCTGCTTATTATTACATCCGGTTTCATTTAGCTCATTGTAAACTCGGCCATGAGTCATAGTCTGTTCTTTTTTTAAAATGTTGGTATTGAATTAAATGGATTCTTTTCTCTAACTGCTAATTTTAGAGTTTCTCTAAATGTTAATAGGATATTTGTATATTAGTAGTGCCTTTAGTATAAGAGATATATGTTCATTATTTGTCATTTATTATAGTCATGTGAGTTTCTGTGATTTTACTTTCTATTAATTTGCTGGGTTCAGATGTTTATTGGTTCCCATCGTTTCCTTATTGGGAAGGTTTATCTGTAGTGGAATCTTGAGTAATGAGGCTCAAGTAATTCTCAGTGTTTGTCCTTATTGCCTCACAAACTATTTTTTTAAAGGAAACATCCATTACCAGGACTACAATACAAAGAGTTTAAATTGTAACAATAATGTTATGTTAACTTTTTACAACTTTGAAGTGTGTAATATTTTTCACCTTACTTAACTGTATAAACTCCAGCATTCAAGAATTGCCTCATTCATCATTGCTATGTGACAGCTCTGTAAACAGTGTACATCCCAAATCTTTTTTAGAGCACAGAAGGAGGAGCACATGCCATCTTATGAAAACTCCAAGACAAATTTTGGTAAGCATAGTGCCACTGAACCCATAGGATATTTCCTCAATATTGAAGCAAAGCAAGCTGACAACTCTAGATAGATAAGCAATAAAAGTGGTTTCTTTTTGTTCCTTCTCTTTTTTTTTTTAATCTATTATTCTAAAGATCAAGATTGAAGATAGATTACAATAGGAGAGAGCTCCATAATGACTAGGTAGTGTCAGGCATTCATCTGACCTTTTCCCCTTGTAGACCTATTCGGAATAGGGCCTGAGAGCAATAGGAGATGTGCCCTCTCTGGGGAGGATGGAAGAGGTAGAGGCTGTTTTTATCTCATGATGCTTTTGAGGAGACTAGCTCCAATGATAGATTGGGAAACTTACAATTTTTCTTTTTTTGGATGAGGCAGACTCAAACTATCCCAGAGTTTAGAAATATGTCCACTCAACTGTTGAATCTGCTGTGTACTTTCTGTGAAATCATGGACTATATTGAAGAGCAGATTCCCACAAATTCTTCATATTTCTACATAACTAGAGCAGTTACTCTGTTTAAACCTTCCTCTACTCACTGAAACATTATTTCTAAATATCCTTCAGTAAGGTTTTTATTTTTTTGTTTTGTTTTTGTTTTTGTTTTGTTTTGTTTTTTGAGCAAATTAAGTGAATTTTAAAGATTGATCCTTCCAGTTTCATTGTTCCTTTTCACCATTCCCTACATTACCTGGTCATTACCTGAGTTTTATAATTTAGCAGCTAGAATGTGTTGATTGACTTAAACATCATGTAGATACAAGTCTTAAACATCTGAGACTCAGTTGCATGAAAAATTAATTTTACCTCTGTGTATGCCTTGGTTTCAATTTAAGACTTTCATTGCTTTTCAGAGGGGTAAGTAGTTCTTTTAGAAGCTGATAAGGAGATCTGATTTTTCCTATTGGTGGGAGAGATGAAGAACTCTTGATGCAGGTTTTTTTGTTTATTTCCTCTTCTGTGATCAGGCACTTGCTTTGGTTTTAGACTGATATTTTTCAAACTATATCTAGAGTCTTGGAGGGGGCAGAAAGGGAGGTAATTGGAAGAAGGAACCAGTTAAATAAGACCTATCCAGTCACTGCATTTTTCAGACTATAATATATCTTTCTAGCTCAAGATAGACAATAGATATCAATAGATAAGCTACATGTCTTTTTTAGTCACTCACTTTTAAATTATCTGTTTGTATTAATAAATCGTACATTTTCATAGTGATTGTCTAATTTTTACCTGAAGGTGTCTAGGACTGCCCAGCTCTCCACTGAACTTAGTTCTAATATGCTTCATCTCATTATTCAAAGCCTCTTTTTTAAAGCAACTGTGTACATACAGTTTTCCAGCTTTTTGAGCTTGCTATATTTCGTAGTACTGTCTTGCTTCCAAATTGTGTTTCTACGGAGGAGGAGAATTAATTTACTGGAGAGAAATGACTGACAGGCATCCTCTAGGTTTAAAAAAAACAAAAAAACAAAAATAAAAAAAAACACAAGTTCCCTTATCATTTCTTTCTAGAGGTAGTGATAGAACTCCAACTGGCAATGTTCTTCACGTACATTTTGTAAGCTTTGTCAGTGAAGCAATCATTTTTGTAGGAGCTTCCTTTCTTAGGCAGGACATAGCTTAAAATTTCAGAAACGAGTATGTTTCAGGCTGACCTGGTTCATATTTCTGTCAGACCTCTACATCTCCTGCTAGGGAAGCAGTCAGAGACAGTGCTGAAACGGACAGCAGCAGGGCCGAGCCAGCAGGCAGGCGGGAGTTCCACTGAGTTAACAACTCCAACACCACTCATCCTTCTTTTAGAGAGAGGAAAAAAAGGTACAAAATAGTTTTTGTAGTTAAGAATGTCAGCAATCCATAGCTGCTTTTGTGTTTTTGTCTGTATGTCAGTGAACCAACAATAATGCCTTGTTCAATCACTGCATTCAGCCATCTTAAGTGCAATTTGTGATGGAGACTCTGGTTTCCAGTAGATAAAGTTTTACATAGGTAAATCTGTAAAAATTATTTTTTTTCCAACAGTACACCTATTGCTATGGATTATTTCAGCAATGGGTATACTATTAAATTGCCTAGGCCAAATAATTAAATTTCTGTAAATATTTTAGTAATTTGAGCCAAATCCTCATACTGTTTTCTCATGAAATAATAGGAATGAGAATTTGGCCCACAGTTTTAAGTTCTTTTATTCCTTTCTTTCCCTTAGAGTTAAAGGACTTTTTTGTTTGTTTTGAGGTTTGGGGTTTGTTTGTTTTTTTTGCCTGAAGTCTCTTACATTTTCTTTTGCCTGCACCCAGT